GCCCTTGACCGGAATCGAACCCAGGACCCTTCAGTCCGCAGGCCGACGCTTCTAGCACTGAGCAAACGGCCAGCGCTTGAACTGGTTTTGAGAAGTTCTCAGTAGCAGGGCCCCTCCCCACATCCTGTTTGCGCTGCTGAACGGGCGTTGACGCCCCCAAATCTGAACATCAGCTCCGCTCACTGTGGCTTGAAGCTTTTGTCTTGAAATGCAAGGCAGGTGTTAGAAACCCGGTGTAACGGCTGGAGAAAATGCCTTCGTGCCTTGGGCTCAGGTTAAGGAGAGCTGGCTGGCTTCTGTTTCCTCTCGAATTTTCTTTTTTGCGGGAGGGCACCCGGGATTGCTTTTCTCTGACCTGTTTTTAAGATTGGTTTCAGAGAGGAAGGGAGAGGAGGAGAGAGAGATAGAAACATCCATGATGAGAGAGTATCATGGATCGGCTGCCTCCTGCAGGCCCCCACACTGGGGATCGAGCCTGCAACCCCAGCATGTGCCCTTGACCTGGAATCGAACCGTGACCTCCTGGATCATAGATCGATGCTGAGCCACGCCGGCCGGCCTGGCTGGGCGCCGCTGCTGGCCGCACGTCCACCCTGGAGGCTGCGGTCACGCGCCAATGTTCCTGGCTCCGTGTCCCTTCTCAGGAGCCAGAGCCGGACCCTGACCCCCACCTCTGCCCTCTGTGGCCCCGGCCTGTCTTCCTCGTCGGCTTCCGTCGCAGGGCAGCTCTCGGAACTTGGTTTGGGGGAGCCTCTCACCTCCGACCCAGCCCTGGCCTTGAAAGGGATGAGCCAGGAGGCCATGCGCTCTGTTCTCAGAAATGTTTCCAGATCTCGTCCACCGGTAGCTCGTTATCAGCGCTTCCTCCTTGGCCCTCACCAGGGGCAGGCGAGTTACTGGCCCCTTGGGTAGGGTTGTGCTGGTCATTTCCATGAAAACTGTATTGGTGACGAATGCGTGACTCCCGTGAACATGGCAGTGAGGTCAATGGGAAGCAGGGGGTTGGGGGGGGGGAGTTACCAAGGTGGTTGTGCGTGACCCTTAGAAATCGACCCTGTCCTGGAAGGACTTGTCACTTGCATCCTTCTGACAGGCATGAAACAGTAAAAGTATGTTTTTAAAAAAACCAGCATTTTAAGCCCGGCCGGTGTGGCTCAGTGGTTGAGCACTGACCTTTGAACCAGGAGGTCGCGGTTCGATTCCCGGTCAGGGCGCATGCCCGGGTTGTGGGCTCCATCCCCTGCAGGGGGCGTGCAGGGGGCAGCCGATCGATGAGTCTCTCTCATCATGGATGTTTCTATCTCCCTCTCCCTCTCTCTTCCTCTCTGAAATCCATAAAAATATATTTAAAAAATAAATAAAAATTTTTTTAAAAAAAATAGAGAAAGCAGCATTTTAAGACAAAACTCCATTAGAGGATTTCTTGATAGGGCTCTTCCCCAGGGCATTTTCATGTAGTCAGTGTATTGAAATAAACCATAGTAACATAATATACTTGGGAAATGTTGCTAGCCCACTCAACCTGCTCTCTCTCTCATCAATTACAAAAAAAAAAAAGAAGAAGAGGAGGAGGAAGAGGAAGGAAAGAAGGAAAGAAAATAAGAGAAATGAGCCTGGCTGACAGGGCTTGGTGCTTGAGGGTCACCCTATGAACCAGGAGGTCACGGATCAATTCCTGGTCAGGGCACAGGCCCGGGTTGCAGGCTCGATCCCCAGTGTGGGGCGTGCAGGAGGCAGCCGATCCATGATGCTCTCTCATCATGGATGTTTCTCTCCCTCTCTCTCCTTCTCCCTTCCTCTCTGACATCAACAAAAATATATTTTTAAAAGAAAAGGAAAAAGAAATGACCGGCTCCGGGAATTCTGCAGAAGTGAAAATGCCTCTCCCGACGGCAGATGGGCCCGGGGCTCTGCGGCAGTTCTTGTGAGGTGCTGACAGATGGTGGCCCCGTGTTGGCGGCCATCTTCCTGGCTGCACGGCCTCTGCAACAGGTGCGGGCGTGGGGCCCAGCTGGG